TTGCACTTAGAAGGGTAAAATAACCTAGACAAGTGAGTTAGTTAAAGAATTAGCTTTAGCATTTCATATTATATGTATAGCTTACAAATGTTTAATAAAGCATACGTAACTAGCCTGATAGAAGGCAAAAAAAAAAAAATAATAATAATAATTCAAAGAGTTAATTAATATTTTATTTTTATTTATTTCTTTAATTTATTAACTTATATATTAAGTTTTATAAGATCAATAAAATATGAGTAACAAGTTTTAGATAATAAAAAAGTTTTATTTATTCAAGCAAAGATTTTTATTTCTTATTATTCTAGCTAAACAAAGTTTAAAACAAAGGTTTTTTTATTCTGATTAAATAATAAGGCTAAATAATTTCTGGATTATACTAAGCTTTGATTTTTTAATTATAATTAAGAATACATTTTCTTAGAAATTGTTAAAGGATATCATAATTAACAAGAATTCTTAATATTTTTTAATATTTTTTTACTATTACAAGATAAAATAATTATTGGAAAAATTGATTTTTTGGATAATAAAAGATATTTATCAATAAAATTTCTTTAATCAAGTATGGTTATTAAAAGATATTATATTGAAACAATATAATTTAATTATATTGAACCTGAGATCTATTATAAGTTATTTATTTATTACAGATAAATATAAAATTATTATTTAAAAAAAGTTGAAAATAAGTGCGTTACTAAAAGTAAAGGCTTTTATTAAGCAATAAGTATCTTTTAATAATATACAAAAAGGAAATAAAAATCAAGAATAGATAAGTTTCTCAAATTATCATGAGAAAAAAAAATTCATAATTAGATGTTTCTTATCGAAAAGAAGGTTTTGAGAAGTAAATCTTTGAAAAAAATTGAAAATTTTCATTTTCTTATTTCTTTCTATTTTCTTGTAATATGTTTGTGCATTTTTATATTCCTTTTTTTCTTTTTTTAATCTATCTCTTTTGTAGTTTTCTATATTCCAATGACTTGATAGAACATTTGACAGTAACAATTTACCAACAATGATGTAGTGGATTAGGAAGGTATTTACCCAAAGACTATTGTAAAACAAAATATTGTTCCCAAGGTCAAATTTAGAAGCTATTATTACTTAGAATAAGTTTGATAGATTTGATAGAAATGTTTAGCTGTAGTATGTATCATACTGCTCGAGTGAAAATGTACTTATGTTTTCAATTGATTAATAAACTACGATCTAGCCTGGCTACGGTTATTGCAAAAAAAAAAAAAAAAACAAAAAACAAATAATACTTGTAAATATTATAGTTTCGATATTTCAATAATATATTTTTGTTTAAAGTTATAGTGATTTTACTAATTCCAGCTGTTGTTCACATTGCATACTTTTTTATGATTCAATATTACGAATAATTCATCTATATATTCCTGTTCAATCACAAATGAGTTTTGAAACTGTCGATTTCGATCGAAGATGACCAGATAACAACTTATTTTTAACTTAAACCTTTATAAAAATAAATTCGATAAATATACATTTTAAATCTAGATAAAAATGTTATCTAATATACAAGGTGATATAAAATATGTCAAAATCACTATAATGGATTAGCAGAAGAAAGGTAAAAAAAATCCGAGTGTGTGTGTTCATGACAGTAAACTTCAAAAAAAAAAAAAAAAAGAAAAAAACCCGACTCGACATTTATTTCTCTACCCTTCTATATTTTTAGTGTCCTTGTCCCCGCTGCTTTATAAGTCTTAATCTTAAGAAGACATTTTACTTCTCTCTAATCTTCTTCTCACCATATAACAGTCCCGCTTCAAATGATCCAATGAACCACATTCATAACATTCGATTCTACTAAAACATGTCTTATTTGTGTGATTGGTAGAGCCACAATTATAGCAAACGATCCCTGCGCCCAATTTTTTTAAAATATTTTGATCGGCGTTTCTCAAGAATTTTTCCCATTCATTTTGCCGTAATCTGTACAAGAGCATGCATGTTTTTGCATCTTCAACCTGTTTTTGACATATTTTAAAATGTGTTTCTTTTTTTTTTATACTCAATATAGAACTATGAAAAAAAGCTTACTGAGTCATGCTCTCCTTTCTGAATTTCTAACCCTAAAATCTCTCTTGCTAAGTTTTTTAATGATGTTGTCCTTTTATCAACACTAAAAATTATATTGTAATTTTGTGTATCACGAACCAAATGTTTTGGAGGCCATGCTTTTAAAGCCTATATTTTATAACGAAAGATGAGCAAGGGAAATTAAAGTTTAAGGATAACAATTAAGTAAAATGCAAAATGCTGACTCGAAAATCGAAATATAACGATTGTCCGATCACAACTTTTCCTCGCATTAATTTTTTGACTTCTTTCTTCGTCTCATCAAAATTGCATCCTATATATGATTTTAATATGTCAATATGAAAGGGATCCCATGATTTAAAGTGTTACTAACCATTTTCCAATAAACTTGGGGTAATCCCACTACACGGGGTACGATAATCTATAACCTCTTCGGTAGGTTTGACAAATTTATCCAGTAAAGTTTCACCCCGATAGTTTACGATCGATACCCTGGCAAGCATTGAGGTCTTTCCGTTTTTACCTACACCAACCATTTCGCAGTCGACAGCAATGCAATTTTCGAGAATTTTCGAAAATCTAGAATAACATAATTTGAAGAATTGGATAGAATTGAATTTTATTTCTGATCCGATGTTTTATGAGTGATTAAAAATTGAGGCAGACAATACCGTGACTTCTGCAACCTATCGAAATGACCAAACCACTCTCCGGTAGTTTTAAACTTAACCACCGGCATTGTTGTAAAATCCATCACGGGGAAATTCATTCTATATACCCCACGTACTGATTATTTGAAATATATTTACAAATTCACTGCCTACCTTTTTATACCGCATACTGTTCTTTGTTACCATTTCCAAATTTGGAGGTGAGAATTTTCATTTGAAAATCCGAACCATGTGATAAATCTGCGGTGTAACCAATTTTTGAATCAATTTTTAAAAAACTGACCAATAATTTTGACTTCGATATTATAAATAATGGTAATATTACTTATTTGGAGATAATATAAAAAGATTTTGTCTATTCTTTAATAAAATTTAACTATTAAGGATAAAATTTTATTCAATTAAAGAATAAAAAAATTACAAAATATTTTAATTAATTTTAATATTAAAGTTATCATGTTTTATAATAGATTCTTATAAATTTTAATAAATAAATATAAATTTATAGTTATAAAATTTAAATAATTAATAGAACTATAAATATATTAAAAGAAACTTTGCTTTTGAAAATAAATTTATTTGAAATTATATACAATTATTCCATAAATAAATTATTATAAATATATATAAATAATGTTTAATATATAAATCGACTTAAAGACTTACTTTTTCTAATAACTCTTTAATTAAATATAAAAAAAGTATTAATAAAAAGTTTTTATACTTTTATACTAATAAAGTTTTATTATTTTTCTTAAATAAATTTAAAAAGAATCTCAAAAATAATTTTTATTTTCTTTTTACTAATACTTTTTTTTAAATAAAAACTTGACTTTTACTAATCTAAAAAATCAAATAATATCTTTTCTATTTGCAACTAAAATAGGTTCCTAAAAGAGGAGACAGGGACAAAACTCAAATATTTCTTATTAGAAAACATTAAAATTTTTAAATAAATAACTATAAAAAATTATTCATAATTATTTTCTATTATTTAAATCATTGATTTATAGTATTTTCCAATTTTGTTCCTATTAAAGTGAAAAGTTATGAATTTTGTTTCTTAAAAAAGAACATAAGTGATCTGCAAAATTTTATATACTATATTTTAGAAACTCATCATTATTTGTAACAAAAAAGTTCTAAAAAAAAATCAAAATATACTATATATTTACTTATTAAAGAAATATTATAAAATATATTAATATAAAAAGAAACTTTTTACTCTCATATTACTATTTAATACTGTAATAATATTTTTTCTTGATTATTTTTGATAAATTTTATTTACTTCATTTTAATTCTAAACTTCAACTAGTACACAATTTCTTATATAGTAATTAAATAATAAAATACATATTAATAAAAAAATATAAATAAAGTTCTATTTTTTTTTAAACCTTCTGTCAGGTTAGTTATGTGTACTTTATTAAACATTTGTAAACTGTACATATAATATGAATCACTAAAGCTAAAAAACACTAACTAGTTTACTTGTCTTTATAATTACTACTCTAAATGCAACTTTGGAAGTAATTTATTACTCCATTAGAAGTTCAGGTGAAAACCCTTCTAACTCTTAATATTATTGCCTGCAGGTCACTACTACAGATATAAATAAGTTTTTATTAATTATATTATATACTATATAAGAATATATTTTTTCAATTTTTATAAAAACCTAAAATTTATTATAAGTTTTTTTTTTTTTTTTAAGTGTTAATATAGTCATGCCATTTAATCTTTATTGATTTATTAATATTTTTTCTTTATACAAATTTAATTGTGATGAAAAATATATTTATAAAAGTAAAAAGATCAATAACTCAATATTATAGTTAAATCTATAAACTCTATAACTTATTATGGTCTACATTCATGAATATTAGTATATCATAAATCTATTAACACTGATATTAAGTATGAATAAGGTATAAAGAGGAAAACTATTGTTTATAATATTGGTCATACTTGAATTGGTTAGTTGGATATATAAAAGTTTGAAGGTTTATATAAAATACTTTTCTATATTAGAAAGTGAGGTGTGAATATTATGGTTTCTAGCAGATCAGTTGTGTTTTATTTTCCTTGTGATCTTATTTTCTTTTTTTAGATAAAATCTATATTACAATATAATCTTCAAACCTTCTTTTTTTCTTGCCAAAATCTGTTTATTGCTTTTCTTATTGCATTTTTTGCTTTAGTCAGATTTGAGTAATTTTTGTAACCTTTTCTATTATTTGATATATAATAGTTCCCCTTATAATGTCTTTCCAATCTATCTGGTATCAAGTTTCTGCTACTGCTTCTTTTTTGTTCCTAAACTATGTATATTTCTATTTGTTTTTAATGAATTTTGATTGTTGAATACCATTTACATGGGATACACATTCTTTGATTAGAAATATTATATATATATATTTTTTTAGTTTTTCAGAGTTTGTATTATATATTAAGGAATAAAGATTAGTCTCTTTGTGTTTATCACAGATTATACATTTGGAGCTGATATATATATAGTATATAGTAGTCTGGTATTGAGTTTGAATATAGTTGGATATTTTTTTATCCAAGTTTTGATTTGAAAGGTTCTGTCTTTATTGTCTTTAATGTCTATATGTAATAATGTAATTTTTGTGAATAAGAAAGTTTCTAGTATAAGTTTCTAGTCTATTTTCTTAGATTTTTCCTTGATTGTCCAATTATTTATTTTTCTTAATACTTGCTATTTGCTTGTCTACTTGGTTTTGATTATTGTTTTCTCAAGTATATTGTTTTCTCAAGTATTTTGAAGGGAAAATTGATGAAGGATTTATATCATATAACTAAAGTATTGCTTTCAATTAACTGCTTTTTCTGGATTGTTATAATATTCTTATATTAATTTATATATATAGTGGTAACAAGTTTGTCTGCTCTTTTGTTTCCAGCTATACTAATGTAACTTTTAACTTTGATCCATTGTGCTTTGGTCTATTTTATTTCAAGCAGTTCTATTATTATACAGTATTTATTAATTTTTTATTTGATTGATTTTTCTTTTTCTTATTGTTTTTTCATTTTTTCTATTATTGGTTCTAATTGAATTTATTGTACTTTGACTGTCTGTAAAGATTTTTATTGTTTTATCTGGACTGATTATATTGATTATTATCAATATTACTATCAGTTTAACTCTTGTAGAAGATGGGATATATTAAATTTTTGTTTGAAACTCTACTAGATCTTTCCCAGATTCTGTTTGAATAATTCAGCCTAATCACATTCTGCTTCTTGTTAATTATCTGGTAAAGAAGTCCTCAGTATATATATATAAATTATTGTGTTGTTGAATTCTTATGGTTATGTCTGTAAGTCTTTTTATCCTCTAGTCACTTGTTTTAACTCTTGCTGTGTATAGTATTATAATTGTAGATATCAAATCAAGATAAATTGTTAAAGGTGATATTTGAAAATTCAATATTTTATTTATTTCTCTTAATACTAACTCGATTTCCTTAAGTAATAATCATAGTCTGTTTTGGAATGGTTATTTGAATTGCTATATACTATCAGTATTATTGATATGGCTAAAGAGTTATATTAATTTTGAACTTTTTTGAATTAATATATTAATCAGTTGATATGGTAATAATTGGGAGATACATTGTTATTGGTTTTTATATTTTTTTCTTAAGTTCAGATTATTTAGGAGGCAACTCTTGCATTTGTATAGAGGTGATATTTGATTTTCTTTAGTCATGTAATTGACTATTATAATCCTTTAATCTAGATACTTTTTCTTTCTAAACAGAGTTATCATCTCATTTTTTTTTTGCTGCTATCTATTTAATGATTGTTTTTCTTTATGTGGGAAAGATCCTTATATTTGTGAAAAAAATGTTTTTGATTTCTTTAATACAAGATCTTCTGACATTATTATATTCATTAGTGGAGAAGTCTTTACAAATTATTTTTCACAAATTATTGATTATTGTAGTGTTCTTCCTTGTCTTTTCAATTTGTTTCTAATTTGTTGCCATATAAAAACCCTTATAAGGTTATTGTTGAAAAGTTATTTAATGAAAAGTATTTTCATTATGGCCTTATTTTTTAATTTTATTAATCGTATTTGTTTGATTATTACAAATGAATAATTATAGTATACATATATGTTAAAGTAAACCTATTTTATATAAATAGTTGTATACTGTATATATTTAACTAATATTATGTATAACTGCTATCAGCCCAACCCTTAGCTAGAAGACTGTATAATTCTATCTTAATTATTCCTAGAACAATTTTTTATTAAGACTATTCTAGTTATCAGACTATTGAATTCAGTATCCCAGATTCTGATTTTTGATCCTTTAGAGTAATCCATGGATTTTTTTTCTATCAAAGCCTCCTAATAGTCAAGTCTGTGAAAGGTAACACAACCATATGCATGAGAATAAGTCCAGAGAAACATATTATCAGTTTGGGAATCTTCTCTTATTATTATTATTTTATTGATAATATAATTGTATCAACAATAATTCTATTTGATTTTGAATTATAACCTGATCACAATCTATATATAAACTAGATATTATATTAGAAACATCAGTTAGTTTACAATTATATCAATAGATAGATTTTTTTTCTTATTGAGCAGTCTTGTATTTTATTGATGAAATTGAATCTAAATCTTGTAATCCTGATCTTTTTTATGAAATGCTAACTACTGTATTATTGGCCTATAGATCCTTGTTTTATTGCTATTTTCAGATCACCAGATCATTATTATGAGATAGATGAGATCTTCATATCACCTTGTGACTTATTTTCACTTGGCCCTTATATGATATTGAACTTATACTTAATAATTGTGATCTGAGAGTACTATCACTATGCTATGGATCCATGGATTTTTAAATTTATTATAAATTACTTGTTTATATATATAAATAGATATAAGATATTATTTTAATTACATCTTTTGTTTTTTTAGAAAAAATCTATTTAATTACAATATATCAATTATATAAAAAAGAAGATTTTTAAGCTTAGTAGTTCAATTCTTAAAATATATAAATTTAATATATATTTCATAATTTTA